TATCGTTAAAAATAGAATACTGCTATGAGTACCTACCAACACGGATTCTTGTAGTGAGTAAAGGGTTAACAATTCAACTTGAGGTAACAATATGATCTAAGTAGGTATCACAATGAAAATATTTTTATTGACTGATTGATTGCCTACTCGTTTGTCTGTTATTACCAGTATTGGAGAACCAGTTCACACACTGTATAAGTGCATACCAACGCATTTGAATTCATCAGTGGCAGTTAAATTTTTCAGTTAGTTTGACCGCGATCAGTGATAATTATGCACTTTGTACATTTTTCTATATTCAGAATTCCTTCAGAAAACGCAGTTTGGTTTACAATAGTTCGACCGCGGTTTTCTTGCGCCCAAATATAATTATGAATATTAGAAGAGCTCTATTGATAATTTATTGTTTGTTTTCAATTTCAGAGCAGGGAAAAGATGAGCTTTCAGTTATCTAAGTGAAGAGGTACTCAAAGATTTGATACCAACAATTGGAGACCGATTGAAATTTTTCCGCCACTACCAGACATTCCAGGCAACCAAAAAACATCAAGCCAGCCAGTCCTTGTGACATATCAACTGCGCATTTTGTGTCAAAAATCGTGGAGGAAATATTGAATAATCCGGATCTGTCATTAGATGTAGTCCTCTATAGCTGATCTTCAATATTCAATAAAGCATTCTGAACATTATATATTTGATGGAAAAATAGTTATTTGTTTTACTAGGAATAGAAACTATGTGAAACATACTTTTAACTTTTTTTCCAAATTTGTCTCAATTTCACGCCATGTCCAAATAATACATCAATTTGTGTTCACCCAATGTCATTGTCAATTTTGATTACGAATTTGATACATATTATTACTCGCATAGCAACAAACTTTTTTTGACTATAGGCAGCACTTTTTCTGCCTAGGCAGTAAAAGTACACCTTTTCTGTTAAGGTTCATCAAGAAGCCATTTCTAATGTCATTTTGAGGAAATAATTTTTTTATGAGACATTCAGCCCAACCGAACTGCAGACATTCAAAAAATTTTGAAGCAATATTCAACTCAACATTTCTCTGTGTGAAACTTTCCTTAATGAAATTCTGAAGCCATTTCGAATTAACTATCTTGATCGGCAAGGAGAGTTCAGTTTGTAAGTATCTAAGAATCCCATGAAATCCCTCCAACAGAAGAAAAAGGATTCTCAAAAAATAAGATCTGCATTCTAACTGTTATGTCTCATCAGGGGTCATATTTTGGAATACCACATGTTCTGAAACGCCTTGTGGAAAATGATAAGACGACGAAACGATATGGTTAAATAAACAATAACATGTTGTTAAAGTAACGATATGGTATAGTTGGAGTATTGATGTGATGAAAATTTGGTGACAATATCATATATAGTAATTGTGACATAGTGGCATCGTAAGTACGACAATATTACATTGTTATGGTAAAAATACGATCTAGTTGGGACAGGGAAATAATCCAGTTAGGACAATATCATTCAGTTAGAACAACAATATAATCAAGTTAGCATAACACGATATTCTTGTTAGAATATCAAAGTTTTCTAGTTATGGTAACAAGATAATCTACTTATGAGAACAATATGATGTAGTTGGGATGACAAGATATTCTGATCCCTAGATCAATATTATATTGTTGAATTAACAGAACTGTCTGGTTACGATAACACTATTATTGTTATTCTAACGAAAAAATAATGATTTTTTTGCGATATATTATTGTGAGTATAACAATATAATATTGTTAGAAAGACGAGATAGATATGGTTGAGGTGACCGTGCATTGATGATATCATTATAACAATATATATTTAGCTATCAGAACAATTTGGTGCTAACTATATACAAATAGTTATACTAACGATATATCTGGTTGTGCCTATACTAACTTGAATTCTAGTTAAAATTCTGGTTACGGTAACAATAATTTTTCTCCGTGTAGTGTAAAGAAAAACAAAAATTCCAAATTGACAGAATTCTTGTCGCAGGCAAACTGACATATATTGAACTGAGTATATCGCCCTTGTTCACTTCAATGCCATGTAATTCCTCTTCAAAACTCTACTCGGTGGTAAGTATTGAACTAAGTAGATATTTTTCAATATTTCTCTAAGATCTTCAATATTTTTCTGGGAAAAAAAGTCAATCACCCTATATGATACTGAAATGCCGATCATTTGACTATCAAATTGACAGCACATTATATTGATATGGGTGTTATTACAAACCACTTGACTATCAGGATGAAAACAAGTAATATTGATATCACTATCTTTTCATTCTTATAATATCATCGTACATTCTCATATAAGTGTTAATCTTTGGTAGAAGTCCATATTGCTCAAAGTGGAGTGAAATATTTCACAGGAAGGAAGGAATGCTCGAAGTCATATAAGTGTTGTTGAATTTATATTTTTTTAAATGATGAACTTGATCATTGTGAGAAGGGAACTTTTTTGTCGCCTATTGAATTCAGAAACATCTTGAAGGTTATGAAATTTCGTATAACAGCTAATAGATATTCCTCTGGGTGTATAGATACGTCACTAGCAATGCCAGTCAGACAACCCCGATAAGCCCAGTCAGCACAATATGTCTCCTTCAACCTTGAATTAATTATTAGAGGAGAAGAAAGACAATAGGTGTACACCTTGGGAAAGCAAGAACCTGGACAAAAAATACAAGAAGTTCGACCTCTCTTCAATCTGGCTAAGAAAACAGGGTGCTGGGACACTTACCGCACATCTCTTACGGCTCATAACAAAGAAATAAGAAAAGTCAAGAAGGACTCTCAGAGGAGGTTCTGTCAGAGTACATCAGATGTACCAGCCAGCATCAGCATTCGGGCGGTGAATAATTTGTTCCTATTCAAATCTTCGGGAGAGGATGGAGTTTTTCCTGCATTCCCTCAAAACGATTGAATTTTTTCCTGGGAGTTTGGCGTGGAGCTATATTCCGCTAGGGCGGTCAACAGCGAGGGTTGTGTACATACACAAATCGAGTAAGGCGAATCACTTCCTACCCGAATCCTTCCGACCGATCAGCCCTACCTATCGTTCTTATTGAAAACTCTAGAGATAATTGTAGACAGGCATATTATGAGAGAGGAGAATCTGAGAGAACATCTCCTAAATCCCCATCAATATGCCTACCAAACAGGAAAATCAACGGATTTGGCACTGAACAATCTTGTAGAAAATATCAGCCATTCCTAAAATCATAAGGTTATTGCGCTGGCAGCTTTGCTGGACAAAGAAGGAGCTATTGAAAGCTCAAGAACGTTCAATAATCACAATCACTCTAGATAGCAGTGCGAGGTAGAGGAATCAGCAGTCAAATATCCAACTGGATCGAAACCTTGATCGAAACCATGATTAGAAATCGGTACGTCTTATCATCACTGCATGGAGAGTCGTTCAGGTTTAGAGCGGCAAAAAGTTCTCCACATGGCGGGGTACTTTTCCTCTTATGTGAACAATTCTAGTTTGATCTCTGCTGATCGATATTTCCATGCAGGGGTGGATTTCCAATGCTATGCGGATGATCTAGTCCTAATAGTAAGTGGAAAATTCTACGCAACGATCTCAAATGGTCTACAAAAAGCCCTTAATACTGTGCACAGATGATGCGAGATGAAAACGATGTCTGTGAACGCCTGGAAAACTGTAATCAACCCTTTCACCAAATGGCAAGAGCTAGATGAGTTTAGTCAGCCTGTCCTGAATGAAGATAGCATTCTGTTTGCGGCGGAAGTGAAATTACTAGAGGTCACCCTAGATAAAAGACTTACCTGGAACGATGAGGTGAGAAGCTCCAGATGTATTGATATTTTTGGAATGTTGCTGGACGTTCAACAAGGTTTGAAGTTTGGTTCTAAGTTAAAGAGGGTGAGCGCATCGTTCCTGAAACAATTCATCTAGCGATAACTGTGTTACGCCACTTACAAAATCCGTTTCATGTATAGAACTACTAAATTAGGAAACACATACATGAATCTACGGTTAATAAAACGGAGAATAAAGCGACAAACCACATAAGAAGAAAATTGAATGTTTCATACAATTCCCTATGAGAAAATATATATCTAAATGCATAAAAATCTCAGATAGGTTCCACACAATAATATCTTTATGCACTAGTCCCTCTTATCCACACATCCATTTGTGGAATACCTATATTTGAACTCTCAGGTGATTCTATCGTTATGATTAACTTCTTTCTCTGGATAGTTGCTTCCTGGCTGTCTGAAGTTTTTAGCCTAAAGATGATAATTTCAGCTTGTTTTTTGAAGGTTTTGCTAGACAGCAACCATCAGATTGATTGACAACGTTAAATTTAGGACCTATATACATATTGTTACATCTCGAGGAATTAATCTCTGTTAGTGAATGAAGAGTTTTACTTTTACGGTAATTCCGATATTCGTACGGTAATTTCAATATGTAGATTATACAAATGAACATTGCGCTTTTCTTGAGAACTGAATTTATGAGTAACATATGAATTGTAGTTTGTTGAAATCTAGTCGTTACTTGTGACTCGGGAAATAAACCACTAGTACATGAAATTTTGTATGTATCACGTGCGTTGAATGCGTTTATAGCCTTCGGCGTGTAATGGCCCTTGGCTAACGCCATCGGGCCATCATTCACGCCGCCTAAATAACTATTATTGCTCTGGAAATATCTTCAAAAACGGTCATTTCATCATCATTTTATCAATTTTGTCACTATCGCACAAAAGAATATGTTTACGCATCTGCATGGCAGATTTCTCCCAAGAGAATCAAAACCTTGGCCTGGGATGTAGCACGTACACCATTTGCATTAGGAGAAAACAATAACATACCTCCTGTGATTTCCACACTTGGTTGTCATATCCAACTTTTAATGCTCATTATGTGAAAGACTCAGAGAAATGCATTGAGAAAAGCTCAATTGAATTCTCAGTTGTATAATATATTCTATGAATTGATTTCAGAACAAGTAGAAAACATATAAATGAAATAATTGCCGCTATCGACACAAACCTCCAGTTACCTACATTTCCAACATTAAACACGTCCTCTGATACTGAAATTCGCCCTTGGATATCACAAAAGTGCCAACATTTTAACAACAAAACACCTATAGAGACTGTAACAATAGCTGTTTATGTGGACCTTCGGCCTAAATGGACCGGCGGGACCACCTGAGTTTATTTTCGGATGAGAACAAGTTGAAATTGAATTCAGCAGAATGGCTTAGAGATTCGATACGGTGACAGGGAATTTAGTGACGCTTTTGCTCAGTTTTTCGGCTCTTTAATGCCACTGGGACACAAGGACTCAGCCTTGGCCTTGTCATGGATTTAGGATTATATATAATCGTTTTTAGCGTAACGGCACACATTCATTCTTTATATACAGGGTGTTCGGCAAGGTCATGTAGTAAATGTTAGAGCTGATAGAGTGAGCCAAAATAATGTAAGTACTTCACAAAAAAAAATTCTATCGCGCTAAAATTGATAATCGAAAGTTAGAATATAAAGAATTATTTAATGTATAACTTTCAAACCGTTGACATGATATCAGTGATATTCGAGCAGATAAATGAACTCATTATGCTCCTTTCGATATGTGAACGGATTTTTAGTTTATCTGTTTTATAATTTTTTTTCTTTACAGTGAATATCCTCTTGATTCCAAAAATACATCAAATTTCAAATCACCATTTATTTTTCCCATGTCATTTCTAGCTGTCTATCATGATTGTTCCAAGCTGAAGAATATATTGTGACAAGTCCCTCACTGCATGTACACACGTCTTCAGAGAACATGTCGCACAGGGATAGGGTTAACTATCTGAATCACTACTACAATTACGTCGATTATACACCAGTGGCGGCTCGTGACCTTCATGACAGAGGAGGCTGAATGATATGAGATTTATTGTGAAAAACAACTCTCTACTCACCCAAATCAATAGCTTTAATGACATTCTGTTTAGCAGTTAACCTGTAATTCACAGTGTCTATCCAATCCGCGAGCCAAATTTTTCAAATCATTATATCCTAATCGCCCCCAACATGATGACTTCCGCAGTACCAACAAAATAGCTTATTCCCTACCTCCGATCCCGTCAGCCAGATATATTTTTTATAATTATCAGAATTAATGATTTTGTTTGTTACCTGTTACAATCAGATTTTTTAATTCCAGTGTCGGACGTTTGTTTTTCACATTCAATTTATCTTCATGAGACGAAGCACTGAATGGGTTCACCAAAAAGTATTCCACTAAATTGCAATCGTTTAAAACACTAATTTTTCACAAATTTATAGAGCCCCTAACCATTAACCCAACATAAACATAAACAATGCCCGCAATTCGCGACGCGACACGACAAACACGTGCTATTCGGGCGTATTCGGGCATTTGCATTGCGCGAGTGGGTTGCGACTGTGATGGAGTCTATCCTCCTATAGATGTTGCCAAGTTGAATATTTTACGCGTGATTTGCAGACTTCAACGTGTGATGCGTGGGCAAGCACTGTTGCCAATTCAAGAATATTTACCTAAAAACAGGAAATAAAATCAAAATCCATGTATTTTGGTGTCCTTTTAATGATGAAGTATATATAATATTAGTTCAAGAAAAATCTCTGAGGAGGCTCAGCCTCCGTTGCCTCCTCTGAGGAGCCGCCACTGTTATACACCTACTAACCGCGACATTTTTCATGAAGTCGGGTATACATATCGAATAATCAAATTGTCAACGGTACGAATATCACAATATCACTGTGAAACAATGATCTTGAGTACTTTCGGGACTGATTTCTCTCACTTCACTACCAACCACAAAGAATGATTTATGACCGAAAGAATTTCACACCTCAGAACAAATACACACTTTATTGATAATACATCCCCGTGTATACTAATAAAATCCGAACTGAGGAGTGGAAATGATCCTAAGCAAACAAAACAAATATGCAGTCTAAACAAAATACAAAACATTTCAGTATCTCAATCGAGTCCGTATAACCTCTAGAGCAAACAATCATTACACCGTCAACAATGAATTTCGGGTAAATAGAAAATACAAATAAAGTAAACAAATATAACCGTCATATTCGATATACCATCAGGCAGAATTATTTTGCCAGAATGTAAACAGTACCTTCACCTAGCCGCCAATTCCTTCATCATTCTGGAATAGTTTTTTCATTAGGTATATAAAATTTTAATTTCAGTAGAATTATTAGCACATAAACAAATGATGGTTTAATAAACCATTCATCAAATTTTCCAACTGTGATTTTCGATTGATGAAATAATATCGAGTCGGTAATCAATGTAGTCCAGAATAATTCTTCTTGTGATATGAATTCAATCTCTATTCTAGCTATCAAGCCTTGTCTGAACTATTATCATCACAGTATCATTTCCAACAATAGATGTTTCTCAGCAAACCATGCAACAAATAAAAAATCTCAAAATCTGATGGTATATATGACCGATGAGTGAGTGGCAAAAGAATGCAATAGTTTTCCGAAGGCTGAAATTTCGATATTATGTAGTATGCAATTACCTATTTTTTTGTTAGAATCATGGTTTGCTATGGAATTAATAATATCGGAAAGATTTTGCCAAATGTCGGTAGTGAGAGTTTTGAAAAGGGTATAAACACATCAGTTCTAGTTATTGTTTTGACCATTTGGTTACTTCAATCGTTTCTTTTTTGAGATATCCCTGTTGTTATTCAAAATGGAATTAACAAATCATACAATTTGCTGTAAGATTCACTGTCAGAATTCATAAAAATATATAGGGTGTGGCTTCAGGATAATAAACTCAACAAGAATTCCAGAAGAACAACAGAGCCTATATGTAACCTCCAGAAGTTCAAAACAATTTTCAACGCCTTTCTCCTCCCCATATCCTCCTTGGGTTAGCACCATGTTCATAGATGAAAACCCAAAGTCATCTCCACAACATTCATTGAAATGATCAAATATAAATCGTGAAAAAACATGTTTCGGACTTATATAAGCCATCATCAGCCAATAGAAAGTATAATAGTTATGGAAATGGAAAAAGTAGAAATACAAATAGTATAGTTAACATCCTCACACATAAAAGTAATTTCTTCCTTCAATGAAATATGCTTTGAATCCAGATTATGGCTTGTTCATATATACTGGAATAAACGATTGCTTGATATGAGCATTTTTCATTTCCAATTCTGTAGTCTCCGACCAAGCGTATAGGTTGCTTGAAATATGAAGAATTTGGTATTCTTCATATGAGTACAGTAACTATACTCTAAACAAGAGTCTCATTGCATAGATTGTCAAGACAATCATTCTCTTCATTTGGAGAGTCGTTTTCTTGAATCAAATAACAGACATTCTTATTATTCACTGCAGATTATTTCATAACAAGAAATTGATGAGATTGGACGAATGAAATGAGGTTTTTCAATTGAAACTACCATATTGTTCAATGAGGAAACTATCATTTGCTTGATTGGATGGAAAAGCTCTTCACAGAACGAAAAAGGTGAGTTATATTAATAAAAAAGTACATCAAATCAGTGAACGTCAACATTAATTTTGGGCCGATGACGGGTGTCATTAATACAATGAACGGTCGTACGTAAATTTTCTTGTTGATTAAGTTATGACTGCAGTACGTTGAATCAACGAATAATGGTCATGGATCTATGTTTGCCGGTTATTGATATTACGAATGGATTTACATTGGTTCATGGTTGTTGTACATTGAATCAATAAACAGCGAGCATGGATCTATGATGATAAACATTGGTTTATGGTTGATGTACATTGTATCAATTAACAGTGAGCATGAATATGTAAGTGCCAGTTATGAAGGACAGACTCAGTTTATTACAGCTGAACATTGAATCAATAATCAGCTAGCATGGATCTATGATCGGCGGTTATTGATATTACGAACGATAGACATCACTTGATGATTTTCTTCATTGAATCAATGAAAATTGAGCATGAATCTATGTTCGCCAGTTATCGATGTAACGAACAAATTCTATTGGTATTTAACAGTGGTATAGTCGTCGTCGAAGATAATGTTGTCAACAGTATCGTCACTATCAGAAATAAGGGGACAATTTTTTCATGCATCAGAGTAATTAATTTCTAAAACTTTGAAAAACCCAAAATCGGCCCAAAATTATCTAGTACATCCACTGATTTGATGTGACCTGATGAATAATATAATATACATTTACAAGGCAATCGCAGAACACTGGTTTTCTTAATGAAATATCTTTTTTTTTTTTTTTTTTGTTGACCTACCTACCTAATTGTATTGAATAACAAATGTAATGAATATTTTTTAATAAAGTCAACTAAAAATATTTCTGAAATGTCAAAAATACACTGAATGATCGAAGACTGATGAACTTGGACGATATTCAAAAAACAAATATTCGCTCACCTTATACATTTTTTGTCGGAATAAACAAATATTGCCCTTTCCATTCATTATAATATAATTATATTTCAGTACCTGATAATGAGGGAAATGTTTCACAGGAATCTCTGCTATAATTCAATCACAAGCAATACCAGTCAGACGAACTCGACAGGCCCAGTCAGCACATTCTTTCTTTGTTAACTTTGAAATATGTTGAACTACACTCTATCAAAACTCGTTCGTCTATAGAACGGCCAAGCTTTGGAATTCTTTGCCAATGGAAGTATTTTTAAGAAATAATAACCTCCAGAAGTTTAAAAAAATCCCAACCCCTATACTCCCTCTCCCTATACAAGGCAACGGAAATTTTGTCAAATCAGGCGAAATACTGATCTGAACACCTAATTAACTTGATTTTCATTTTCTGTAGAAAATAAAATGATAACAATGTGATGACAATAACCAGTAGTTGTAGAAAGAATAGTACCTTGTGCATCCCACGAGTACCTACACTACCTACCCAGCAAACATTTTGATATGGGTACAACATAATCGACACATTGAGTTGCCCATAGCAAACCCAGCACATACATAAATGATGGGACTGTAATGGCCAATTATCGACATTGGGTACATTTTAACGAGGTAGGAAGAAGGGCAGGAGGATGGGTAGAGGGAGGGGTAGGGGTTTCAGGGGTCCAATTGATCTGGAAGTTCTAGTAACTCAATATTTCTTTTAATGTTTATCATCATAT